TCAGAAATGCCATAGAAACCTCTGTAGAAAGAACCAGAATCGAAAAAAAGATCATCAAAAGAAAACTCTGGATGACAGACAGAACGCTGCCACTTCTCGAAAAGCGAAGGAGAATCAAATCTCTCATATATCAAAACTACAGCAACAAAAACGAATTAGCAAGGTTAAATAGAGAACTTAAAAGAGCATGTAGGGATGATAAAAATAAACATATAAATGAAGAATGCGAAGAACTAGAGAGACATTCAAACCGGTATGAATCCCATGAGCTATATAACAAAGTGCGATATCTATACTCCATTCCACGAATATACGACTGTTTTAAATTCGCTTTAAGGTATCGATTTAAATGGTCCACTGTGCTGAATTGTACAATAGTAAATTCTCCCCATTTTTAAAATACTGTTATGACAGATATAAACCTTAGATTTAAATATGAAGTGATGATATAAATATAGAGTTCATAGTTTATAGAACAGTAATTCAGATTTTAAAGTATATAATTAATATAATTAAGTTTAGTATTATAAATAAGTTGGTTTTAGAATTAAGTGATTTAAACGAAGTGTAAAAATACTTAAGTGATCAAATAGTGTAATTTATTTAGTCGAATATTCAATTAGTATTAAAAAAAAAACAAAAAAACTTACTTATTCTCTTATTCTCGTAATCTCCTAAGACTAACACCAACGATCAGATTCACAACCATAATCAGTCAGCGATATATGAAACTGTATATAAATTTTCGTTACTTTTTAATATCTGTAACAACTTGGTACTTTAACTATCAATAGCCGGTATGTTATACTCGTTACTTTCGGAACTTTTAAGAGTACATCCACTCAAAGCAAACAAATATTTAAAACTAATAAAGTGAAATATTAGATTCTTTTTCTGGTTTTTGCCGATCTGCTAATTTCTTTTCATTTATATGAAAAATAATATATTTCTTTATATTACAGTTGTAGTACCTAATAAAGTAACAAAATAGTGTAATATCAAAGAAACCCGGCACGCATCTTTGGTGTTTACATTTCACTGAAAGCTTACTCCAATGTCTGTTATTGTATTTATTTATAGAACCGTTTGCGTGAAATTTTTCGTTATTTTCGGATTAAATTTCACAATAAATTCTGCGTCTATCTGAACATCTATTAACTGAAATAATTTTAGTTTAGATGTTATACTAGTAGATCCTTTTTATTGGAATAATGATTACACCAATTTACCTTCATACTTCTACTTGCACAGTAAAATATTCGTTGTCGCAGTAATCTAAAACAGTCGTATATTCGTGGAATAAATTATATCCAGGGAATTTAAACCAGTCACACAAACAATAATGGATCAAAACCAACATATTATAAATGACGAGAAAGGGATTGCGGAGGTATGGAGAAAATATTGTCAATGTCAATATGCAGATGATATCCAGAATGCAAATCACGATGAGTTCACTGCAGAGAGAGAACCAAACATTCTAAAGTCAGAGGTAGAAAAAGCAATCAAAAAGTTGAAAAATAGAAAATCTCCTGGCGCAGACCAGATCACTGCAAAAGTTTTAAAAGAAACTGGAGATGTTGGAGTAAATGATATTCATATGATCTGCAAAAAGATTTGGGAAACCGGAGAGTGGCCCAACGACTGGACAACATCCACTTTCATCCCTATATTAAAAAAGGAACTCTGCTAGATTGTAACTACATAATGGTAACCCTAATATCCCATGCAAGCAAGGTTCTACTTCATATAATACATGAAAGACTAAAAGCTTTTCTATTGCCTTAGATATCAGAAGAACAAGCGGGATTTGTCCCAGGAAAAGGCACAATAGAACACATCCTTAATGTGAGACAGCTAATCGAAAAAACTCGTGAATTCAATACTCCTATGCTTATGTGCTTTGTGGATTACACAAAGGCCTTCGATAAGGTCAAAATGCAGCAGCTATGGTTCATACTAGCGGAAATGGGAACACCCCCCACCACCTAATTCAAGTAATTAGAAGTCTATATGAAAATAATAAGTGCACAGTAAAAATAAACAACGCCCATTCCGATCATTTCCGAACAGAGGCAGGTGTCAGGCAGGGATGCACAATCTCGCCAACGCTGTTTAATATCTACAGCAAACACATTATGCGAAAGGTACTAGACAGATGGAAGGGCGGGATATCAGTAGGAAGTCAAAAAATCAATAACTTGAGATATGCTGACGGCACTTTAATAATCGCGGCAAATCAAGAAGAAATGGAAAATATAATGAGATGTCTGGAGGAAAAAAGCAAAACATATGGACTAAAGCTGAATAGGAGTAAGACAAAGATCATGATAGTAGACAGAGCTCGGAATAATCTTCAACACATTAAAGAAATTGGGGGGCTTTGAAGTAGTAAATAGTTTCATATACCTGGGGTCCCTAATAACAAATGACGGAGGGTGTGACAGAGAGATACGTAGAAGGTTGACTATTGCTAGAACAGCTATGATGAAACTGGTAACAATTTGGAGAAATTCTAGCATAACCATACACACAAAACTAAGGCTGGTAAGGGCGCTCATTTTTCCCATAGCCACATATGCATCAGAAACGTGGACCTTAGGAAAGCGGATAAAAATAAACTGGAAGCTTTTGAAATGTGAGTATACCGCCGCATGTTGAGATCCTGGATTGATCATCGCACTAACGTATCGATATTAGAACAACTTAAAGTAAAGGATAGATTGCTTAAACGAATACAACATAGATATTTGCAGTATTTTGGACACATTGCTAGAAGGACAGGTACGATGGAAAAACTGATAGTCGAGGGTAAAGTTGAAGGAAAGAGACCTAGGGGAAGATCTCCAAGTCGTTGGGTAGATCGATCAAAAATATTGATTAACCAAGGATTACATGAAGCCGAACAACTAGCCCAAAACAGAGAAGGATGGTGGGAAATCGTGAAAAACTGTAAAGGCCTGATGGTGTCACCACATCCCAAAAGGGATTAGGACTGAGGCGGAGGATAGCCCCTTAATTTTTTTTAAATGTTTTGATCACTCTTGTTTTGTTATTTAAGACCAAAATTGTATATAGAGTAAGGTGCAGCGATGCGCTAAAAATACACATGATCATAAATGAAATGTACTGTAATTCTTCTTCTTCTTCGCGTGCCATATCAGAACTATCCGACGTTGGCGATCACCATTGCGAAGGCTTCTGCAATATGGAATAATTGTCCTTCAATTGGTATCTGAGTCCATTCACGAATGTTTTTTAACCAAGAAACTTGTTTTCTTCCTACACCTCTACAGCCCTATATTTTGCCTTTAAGGATCAGTTGTAAAATTTTATATCGATTTCCCCTTAGTATATGTCCCAGATAAGACATTTTTCGATGTTTAACAGTCTTTAGCAGTTCTCTGTCTTTGTTGACGCTCCTTAATACTTCTTCATTAGTTTTTCTTGCTGTCCAAGGTATCTTCAGCATTCGTCTATGAACCCACATTTCCAATGCTTCAATTTTCTTTATGATCGATACTTTTAGGGTCCACACTTCTGCACTATACAAAAGTACAGACCAAACATAACACTTAACCATTCTTTGCCTTAGTTCTAAACTGATTTGGTTATTGCAAAGAAATTTTCATAAAAGTAGTTTTAGTCATTGCTATTCTACATTTTATTTCTATGTCTGGATCTAGTTGGTCCGTTATCACACTTTCCAAATATGTTATTTTGTGAACTTTCTCAATTTGGACTCCGTTCAATTGAAGCTTTGCATCAGGATGTGGGTCACGACTAAACACTAAACATTTGGTTTTGTTTGAGTTTATTTTAATACCCATTTCCTCTCCTACTTCGTGAATACGATCAAGCAGAATTTGAAGACCTTCAATATTATCCGATAAAATTACTGTATGGTCTGCATATCTAATCACATTAAGTAGTTCCTCGTTGATTTTTATTCCATATGGTTGTCTCTCAAGAGCCTTTTTAAATAGCTGGTCCGAGTAAACATTCAACAATGTTGGCGACAAAATGCAACCTTGTCTGACTCCTCGTTGTATGGGGATTTCATCGGTGTAGTTATCTCCAATTTTTACGATAGCAGTTTGATTTCAGTACAAATTTTTAATGACACGAATATCCTTGTCATCTATTCCGATATTTTTCAGTATTTGCATTAATTTTACACGCTGTACTTTATCGAATGCCTTTTCGAAGTCCACGAAACATGCAAATACATCTTTTCTTTGGTCACGTCATTTTTGTAATAGGATGTTTATCGCAAAAAGTGCCTCCCTGGTTGCCATAGCATTTCTTAAACCAAATTGGCTATCTTCGAAATCTTCTTCGCATTTGCGTCTAATTCTGTTGTGAAGTATTTTGAGGAAAATTTTAAGAGTGTGTCTCATTAGGCTAATTAATCGATATTCTGAGCATTTTCTCGCATTGTGTTTTTTAGATATTGCGATAAAGATGGATTTGAGCCCATCTGCGGGAATCACTCAGGTGTTATATATTGAATTAAAAAGTCTTACTACTACTTTTATGTTATCATTCTCTATTAGTTTCAGCAACTCAGTTGGTGTATCATCTGAACCACAAGCTTTTCTAATTTTAGCGTTATTTATAGCATGTTCTACTTCGCATTTCATAATTTCTGGGCCGTCAGTACAGTTTTGGTAGAATTCGACAATATTATTCCTGTCATCTTCAAACAACTCTGATATATACAGCTGCCATTATTGGCAGCTGACTCTGATATATACTGTAATTAAAATACTAAAAAATGACAAATGAGCATTCAATCTGAGTGACTTGTTTGTCGCCGTCAAATCGCTCCGATTTGGTCGAATGGTGCAAATACACCATTGCGGCGTTGGAACGTGAGTGACGGGCTTAAGATAATTAATTAATTGTATATTATTCGATAATAGTTGTAAAAGGTATCTAAATAGTTTGTTAACAGTATATTATTTTCTATTAAGTTAAATTTTTCTTTCGTGTTTTAGTATGCCTCATCGGCACAGATGTTGGTAATATGACATCTAGAATTAGTAGATTCGCTAACTACTTAAGAAATCTACTACCTAACAATGATGTTGGAATAATGGAACTTGTTGCTAAAGCTATGGGACACTTAGCTTTTGTTTCTGGATCTAAAGCTTCTGAATATGTGGAGTTCGAAGTTAAACGAGCCTTTGAGTGGTTACAAAAGGATAAAACAGATGTAAGACTCAAATTGATGTTTTTTTTTTATATCTTAACATTTAGTTTTTTAGTGGATAAAATATTTAATTGGTGTAGAAATACTGTTTATTTGGATATTTTAGTTGGCATTAAAAATTTTCGTAGGAAAGTAAAAATATGTATTTCAATTTTAATTGAAAATATGTTAATATTTTGTTTCGATTTTCAGTCGAAAGTAATTCTCAGTATACACTAGAAAATTGTTCGGCAAACACTCCAGCTTTTTCTTCATCAATTTTGCGCATTACGGATGGACAATAGTTTCATTTCGAACGTTTGAGTCGCATCCTGAAATGAGTTTTTTTAGCTTCCTCAAATTTTTATTTTAATTCATTTGTGGGGTATCAATCGCCGTTTTATTATCAATGGTTTAACCCTTTCGAGACGGTTTTTTTTAACGAGTTTTAAAAACATATTTTTGTGGTTTTTTATTTTTATATACACAAATATACCCTTTTTTAACAAAAAATGTTAATGAAAACGTTAGGGTGTTCGTGGGGGTAGTGGTACACATATGTACCATTAGTCTTGTGTATTGGTACATATGTGTACCAACAGTCCCACATAAAAATATTATTATATACCACATAATATATTTGTATTACTTTATTACTCAAAAATACAAAACAATTACTCAAAAATACAAAATATTATTTAGGGTGATATACTGCGAAACAGTTTTTACATAAAGGAATGTCACACTCTTCGCAAAGGGTTTTTGTACGTGTTTGAGTTTTATTATCAGTGCACATTTTACATCGTCTTCTTGTGCTTCCTTCAATTGGAAGATGTAATGATACACTCTCGAAACGTTTTCTTTTCATAGATATTCTTCCCTTCTTAGATAAACGTCGTATAGCAGCTATTTTTTGTCCTTCAGCTATCATTTCTTCTGCCAGAGGTACCAAAAATTGAATCAGAGGAATTTTTTTCTTATTTTTTTCATTATAAATAATCCATGAGTTTACAACTGACATCATAAGTAAGCGATGGAATACTTTTTTCCACCATTTGTTTGATTTACGATCTAAATCGTACAATCCTACCATTTGGTCTGCTAGATCAACCCCACCCATAATTTTCCTGTAGCACGCTATCATTTCTGGAAAGGACACATTTACTTTCGAACCATCTCTCATGGATTTATTGATAGATGAAACACTGTCATTATGGCAATTACTCAGCATCAAGACTTCCTTGGTGTTCTGCCATTTCACAAACATTAGTCCGTTTTCACTGCACTGAAATACGCATTCACCTCTTTGCAATTTATCTTTTATTTTTGGCAAGTTTTTTCTATTTTGGTTACAGGTCCCTATTGCTGCGTACTCTATATTTTAAAACAGACAAACCGAAGTAAAAAAACGATCAAAGCAAAAGGTTATATCTCTTTCTTTTGCTGTGGAAACAAGTTTGTTCACTACACGTTCCCCAAGAGTTCCTTCTACATATTCAGTTTCGCGACCTGTGTAGATGTTGAAGTCGTAGGTATATCCAGTAAACGAGTCTGACCTAAGCCACATTTTGATTCCCCTTTTTACTGGTTTTAGCGGCATATACTGTTTGAGTGACGATCGACCTTTGAATTTTCGTCATGGACTCGTCGATACTTTGAAAACTGCTGTCTTGTCGATATTTTTGAAAGGTACCTTTCAAGCATTGTACAACGTCATCAATGTAATACGTTTTTGAGGCTTCTGTTGGTTTCTTTGGTGATGCAAAATACATTTTTGACGATATACCTTTGAATCTGTCACGGGATATTGCATTTTGAATTGAAACGTTTCCCAGTGAAGGATGAGTTGACCAATAATTACTGATTTCTGGTACACGGTTGTAGCACATAACTAGCATACAACCAAGAACTATTTGAATTTCTCCTAAGTCAGTTTCTTTCAGACGAGCGTTTCTTCTTGACTGCTTACATATTTCAATCCTTTCATTAGTGCATTGAGCAATATACATATACAAAGAACGTGGAAACAACTTTTTGAAATATTGGTATGGCGTCAAGTTAGATTGTATGCCAGCATCCAATGTACAACTACGTTGACTTGAAATTTGTTTTTTCGGAGCAAAACCTTCATTTGGTGTTGACCACAACACAAAAGAACTACTAGGTGTGGCAGTTTCTTGTAAAGTTTCCTGTGTATCACGAACTTCTAACTCTGATTCTGATTCTTCATCAGAAGTTTCGTGAAAATTATCTTTGCAGTCCTCGTCTGATTCCGATTCATCATCAGAAGGCTTATACATGTCATCACTACTTCCAGACTCGGAAAATGATAATTCTGCATAATATTGAAGTTCTTTCTGTGTAAGTGGCCTTTTCTTATCCATATCTAAAAATGACATGAATAAGACTAATGGTACACTTACATACCGTACTATAAGACTATTGGTACTTATTAGTACCATAGATTTTAAAAACAGTCAAATGTTTATTTTACTATAAATAAATAACAATCTAAATATACTTACTATAAAAAGACACAAAAACAAACAGTCTGTAAAATGATATAATACAATTATTTAACTATAATTTGTATCAAAAAACAATGTATTTATGCTGACTGTAGCAACCAACACATCTAAAACTCGCAAATTCTAGGTTAACTAAAATATTTTACGCGGCTACACGTGAACGTAACTCAAACGATGCAATGGAGAACTGACTGGTACATTTTTAAATAATATTTAACGGCAAAATATCACTTTAGGCTTGTATGCAAACATAGTGGTACACATATGTACCTGGAGTCTCGAAAGGGTTAAGAGCGTAGGCGCAAAATTTCGGGCCAATGCTTTTTAAATACATTCTTTTTTTTTTTCGAATCCTGAGAAAACTAATACATATTTTTGAAAGATTTAAACGCAGAATGAAAGAATACATTATTACCGAGGGCCGAAAGTCCCTGAAAACTTCTATAATTTTTATTTTAATAAGTTACAGGGGTAAAAAAATAAGAGAAAATTTAGTCTGATTTTTAATTTCACATATCTTATTCAAAAAAACTTTTTGTTTATTCCAAGGGACTTTCGTCCCCCGGTATTAATGTAATCTTTCATTCTGCGTTTAAATTTTTCAAAAATATTTGTTAGTTTTCTCAGGATTCGAAAAAAATGAATGCATTTAAAAAGCATTGGCCCGAAATTTTGCTTTTGTAACTTTTTTGTGAATTTGATATTTTTAGTGCCTTACTGTATTGCAGTTTTCTTATCTTTCCGATTTGTTCTATGAATAAAAAACTACCAATAGTCTCTACGATCGGAGCATGATACGAATAAAGTTTGGATATGGCAGATACTTCTATGTAGAATATTGATCTATCTATCTAAAAAGCTAAATGGTCCACTACTGAATATAGGTCCTTCCAAGGTTTTTTTGTATATTCTTTTTGGAAGCATAGATGTGGATCGCGCAGATGTATGATAAAATAAAAACGACTGTAACGACAGATCACGAGACTACACACTAGGTGGAGTAGTAAACGTAGTCCCATGCGTGTTTGTTAATAAAATAAAATAATTAATTCCCTCAAATTCTTAAACGACGATATTCTTTTTCTTCCCACATTTCGCTTTCCATGAATTTTGCCTTGTATAATAAGCTACAATAATGAGTATCTTTGCCTTCTTATAACATGGCCTAAGTACTCAAGTTTTCGTCTTTTGATAGTCAACATTATTTCAGCTTTATTTCCTATTCTTCGAGTAACTTCTGCGTTTGACATTATACGAGTCCATGATATTTGTAGGATTCTTCTGTAACATCAAAATTCAATTTGGTAATTTAAGAAAATTTTACTGTCATGGTTGGATATGATAGGTTTTGTGGTAAGATGCTGTACCATGTACTCAATACCGTAAGAGAAAACAAAATAATCTGTTCTACGAGCTGGAAATCGAAACATCAATAGTATTTCTTATCCTATAAATTGTGGTTAATTCCCAATATATCTTAATTATAAAAGTAACACGAAAAATGTACAAAAAGTGCAAAAATTTTTTTTAAGCTTTTAAAGATATGATGATGTCTTACCTAATTCCGAATGATATCGGAAAGCACACTGGAACCAACACTGTATTTTCTGAATTACATTTAAACATTATATGACGTGTTCTCTATTTTCAGAGCAAAAGACATGCTGCTGTGTTAGTTCTGAAAGAACTTGCTATCACTATGCCAACATATTTTTACCAACAAGTATCTCAATTTTTTGAGTTAATAACAAATGCCATTCAAGATCCAAAAGTAGCTATCAGAGAGGGGGCCGTGGAAGCTCTAAGAGCAGCATTGGTAGTTACAGCCCAAAGAGAAGTTGGCAAAGTTACTTGGTAAGCGACATTGATATGGATTAATTTAGTTTTTTTTTATTTTTTAATTAAGTAGAGGATGGTTTACAATTACTGACAGAAACAACGGGCCCAACAAAACGTCTTCCTATATTAGGCGCATTTGGCCTGTTCTTCACCGATTTTGAGCGTTTATTCGCAACTGTGATGTTGAGTGTTGCCAGCTATGTCGGCTCCTTTTAAAGGGTCTTTCTATTGGTTTTGGATCTCTATCTATTCGGTCTATTCTTTCTCTATCCATTTTTGTGATATACTGATTCTATTCTCGTCGTCTCTATCTTCCCCAATGTACTATGTTTTATATGTTACAGAGATCTCTTATTCGGTCATTCAAAATTCTATCTCACAGTGCTGTCCCAGTTATTGACCTCAAAATTCTCAATTCTGATATTCTCAATATTCTTTTGGTTTCCACTGAGTCGGTTCTTGTTTCTATCGCGTTATTCCTTATCGGTCTTATACACGATTTATATATAATTACTTTTCCTTCCAGCCTCTAATATTTATTTCTCCAGATTACATCCCTCAGGCATCCTGACACATAAGCCACTTTCTTTTCCTGCTTTTGGACACTCTCTTTAATATCTCCATATTTCAACTCCAAGATATCCTAATCTCGAGACTTGTTCAATTATTTCATGGATAAGTACTATGTTGCATTTTCTGGGTTCCCTTACACTACAAGAAATTTGGTCTTAGCATTTGATATATTCATGTTTCATGAACTAAAACTTAGCTTAATTGAGTTCTGTCAATTTTTTGGTTTAAAAATAATGAATATCCAATTCCAACATAAAGATATTCATAAATACACTTAGGAACGACCTTCACTCCAACAGAAGTCGATCATAGACTACATAATAATGAGACAGAAATCAAAATTTAAGTGCCAAGACTGCAGAGTAAAAAGAGGATCTAACTGTGGGACAGATTACTACTTTCTTTTAGCTAATCTTTTATGCCCTTTTAAACAATACTCCAAACACCGAAAGTGAGAGAAACAATACTACACAGTACATAACGAAGAGATATAAATTACACCTTTTATTTCAACCAAGTATTTCAACATATTTTTCAATCTAGATTAGAAAAGAAACTAAATGAGATGGGAAGAAATATGGATGTAGAACAAGAATACAACCCAAGTACAACCTCAAAACGATAATAAAAAAATGCTTATGAAGTATTAGGAACAGAAAACAACGACAAAAAACACCACGAACCACCATGAATGACAGAAAACGTAAAAGAAATGATATAAGAAAAAAACAAAAAATAACATATCAAAGGAAAAACGGAGAAGTACGCAATCAAATAAAAAAAAGCAAAAAACAATTTCTGGGAACAAAAATATCTCCAAGTTGAAAATTTAATTGGTGGTTCTTAGACTACGGAAGCATGGAGAACTATCACTAATCTAACGAAAAACACCCATAACCCTTTAAGCAACTTAATTCCTATAGAAAAGTGAGAAAGTCACTATAAAAATTTACTCCAAGAGTCCAGATTGGAATATATGGGAGAGGAATACCGTATGGAGAGACAAACAAATAGTAACATTAATACTACTAACAACGAGGTCCGTACTGCGGTAATTAAAATGAAAAACGGGCGATCTCCAGGACCTGGCAATATAGCTGTAGAGTTACTTAAAGCAGGATGTCCACTCCTAATAGAAAGAATAACTTTTCTAATGAATCAATGCTGCCAACAAATTAAAGTACAATCTGAATGGAAAACCGCTCACCAAGTGTCCATTTTTTAAAAAGGGCAATCGAAAAGATCCTATCTGCTACAGAGGATTAAGTGTCCTACCTTCTTTCGGGAGATTGTTTGGAAAGATAATAAATGTAAAAATACCAGATGATGTAGGACATCTAATTAGCGAAGACCAAAGTGGATTTACGCCTGGTAGATCTTGCACTGATAACTTGTTTATACTCCAACAATTAATAGAAAAAAGAATAGCGGTTGGTACCGAAGTACATCTAGCCTTCATCGACCTAGAAAAGGCGTATGATACAGTGCCAAGACTTAAACTATGGCAAGCTTTACAACAACTCGGCATTAATCAATACCTTTTAGAAATAATCACAGAAGTATTCAGGGATAACACTACTTACCTAAAAATCGGAAATAGACGATCAGAGCCAATAAAAGTAACTAAAGGACTAAGACAAGGATGCAGTATGTCACCCGTACTGTTTAATTTATATATTGAGGCAGCCCTCCAAAATTGGAAAAAGTACTGCCAGGGAATGGGAATCCCAATACGAAATGACTTACTGTTCTCCCTGAACTTTGCGGATGACCAGGTCGTCCTAGCTCAAGATTCTTATGATCTAGAATTTATGATAAAGCGTCTAACAGAGAATATGTAAAATGGGGGTTACAAGTCAGCATTAAGAAAACAGAATATTTAGTTACCAATTCACTTGCAAGTTTTGAAGTGTTAATAGATGAGGACGTGGAAATCAAACAAGTAAAAAAATTTAAATATATAGGTGCACTCATTGATAAGAATGACTTGGGAGAAACCGAAATTAAACACCGAATTAATCAGGAACGTAAAATTGTAGGATGTTTGAACTCATTATGGTGGGATCGCAACATTTCCAAAAGGAACAAAAAAAAGAATAGGGCAAACCATGGTTGAATCAGTTCTTTGTTATGGCTCTGAAGTATGGACAATGCAGACCTGAAGAGAAGATTATTGGCAGTTAAAACGAATTATTTGAGAAGAAGTGCTAGAACATCAAGGCTGGAAAGAAAGAGCAACGAATCTATAAGAAACAACATGAATGTTACAGAAACGGTCATTGACAGAATAGAAAGAAGAGGTTTAAAATGGTTTGGACACCTATTGAGAATGCCTGACGAACGTTGGCCCCAAAAACTTCACAGATGGAAGCACCCTGGAAGAAGAAAAAGAGGTAGACCTCGACGCTCATGGAATGAAGGAATTACAAGAGCGATGGAATCGAGAGGTTTGGAGGAGGAGCATGCCTTGGACATGGAGAATTGGCGGAGGAGAACGGGAATACGGCGATAGCCGTCTCCAAAATGTATTGTGTTTACAAGTTGGATCCTGCTTAACAGGGGATTTTTATTTGTTTTTCTCAAATCTTATATACTTTTTCTGTACTTTTAATATCTTTTGTAATTTTGTCCGATACTAAATTAAAATGTAATGAGCTCAAGCTATCACATAGACGGATTCTCGAGTTGATTTCTACTTTCGATGTTATTTAATTCTCAACTTTTGTTCTTTGAATTAATGTTTTTAATTATCTTTATCACCTTGTTGGTCTGGTTTTTCTCCGTTAGTAATATTAACAAATCTTCTAATCTGACACAATCAAAGGTTTTTGATCAAATGTGCAATGTGCAAACACATGAATATGCAGGTTTATTATTTTCCTATGCTTTCTCAGCAATTTATCTGGAAATTAATATGGTGTCTACAGTAGTCCTATTTTGTAGAAAGCCTTATTCTTCTTCTTTTATTGTGATTTCTTTATTTATTTTATTGGTAAGTATTCTTATTAAAAGTTTGAGAGTTATGCTCAGCGTGGTAATGATACGGCAATTGGTAGGATATATCCTGTTTCCTCTCTTGGGTATTGTTATCGTTATATCGTTCTCCACTGGTCTGGTACACACTGGCTATATATTATTTCCTGAAAAAGCTTCTCTATGTTTTCGATCAGTGTTTCTCCTCTATATTTTAAGAGTTCATTCGGTATCCCGCCGAGTCGTGGCTTTTCTGTTTTCTAATTTACATATATTATTCCTTATTTCCTCTTTTGGATTTCCATTTCCGTTTATATGTTTGATTCATCTTCATTTTCTGTTTCTTCTTCTTATACAAAAGATCAAAAGGAACCTTTAATGATATCAAGGAACATAATATACCCACTCTAGCTGACAACAAATGAAGAATAATTATAGAAAAAAGCGAACAAATTCAAGTATAAAAGGTCAAAAAAAAAGGTAAAAAAGTATTTTTGAAGTGTGTATATTTTAAATAATTCCTAGCTGAGCGCTTTCGGCTTTACAAAGCCATCATCGGAGCTATGCTACAATAAAATGTTCTTATAAGTACTAATTGGTGAAGATTTTAATTTTTTAACTTACGTCAATTTATAAATACCACTACAATGGAGAGATCTCGACATACAAGGAAATGAGATCTCTCCATTGTAGTGGTATTTATAAATTGACGTAAGTTAAAAAATTAAAATCTTCACCAATTAGTACTTATAAGAACATTTTATTGTAGCATAGCTCCGATGATGGCTTTGTAAAGCCGAAAGCGCTCAGCTAGGAATTATTTAAAATATACACACTTCAAAAATACTTTTTTACCTTTTCTTTTGACTTGTCATAAGTGTGTACAAAAAAACATATCAGTCTTTTGATTGAAATTCAAGTATGTATATCTTCCTCATAGCTTTTGTTCGCTGTCTGTGTACTTTCCATTTACGTTAAATTTAACAGTTTAGCCTTTTGTAATGTTTATTCATATCTATACCATCAAAGTCCAAGTACCAGATAATTAATGTTTGATATATTTTTGAATTAATTTGATTTTTTATTTAGGTACAAACTATGCTATGAAGAATCTGGTACACTTCTGCTTGCTGACAAAGGAGAGAGAATAAGAGACGAAAGCGTACATGCATTTCTATTAATACAAAACGAACTGCTACGCTTAGCGAACGCCTCATGGGAACGAAGATATACTTCCCTTTTGGAAAAAACTGAAATGAGACGTTCCAACGATCAAGAAACTTTTAATTTTAATCGACCGCTGTTTATGTATCCCACGCCAAATAAGAAAAGCGCAAATTATCAAATTTTAGCAGCTATACAACCAGAAAAGCCTATTATTATAGAATCGTCGGCTTGCCATCAACTTATACTGGAAAAGTTTCCATACTTATGTATTGATGTGATGCAACAAAAATTTTCTAGGTAAAGAATGATTTTTTAATAACTTATATATTTTTTATATTTTATAAGTGAAAGATATTTTTACTTAATCCGTAATAATGCGCTTTCAATGATCAATTTTTTTGTTTTTCATTGTGATAGTTGTACGTAGTTATGGTGCAATTTTCTAGGGGTCTCCTTCAGCAGAGACCGAATGTAGGCCACTTCGATTCAAATTCAGTGTGATTCAGACAATTATATGGTTGCGATTTCTTGGCTTTATGCAAGGCAGATAAACAACAGATGCAATTTTCATTATAAGGCAGTTGATGGAAAAATACAGAAATAAAGAAACAAATGCTCATATGGTATTCATTGATCTTGAGAAAGCAAATTGTTGGTCCAATGCCCAATTTCCTCTTTATTTCATCAGCGTGTGCAATGTTATTCATAGTATACAGCGCCAGAAACACACAACTGCTGACCTATCACCTCTGCCATACCCAACGCAATACACGAAAGCGTCAGTTGAAGATTTGCTACCATACCAAAAACACAAATGTAAATTTTTTTTAGCAGAAAATGTTTGGCTTCAATTCATAACTGGTACCTATGGTTGAACTCGTATAGAATTGGAGATTCCAATACTGTCTGAATATACAGGATAATGAATTTGAAAAACCAAAGTTACTAATAGTATAAAAGAAACGGCAAATCTGGCAACATTGCAAATATCAAATACTGAATCTCCGTATCCCAAAATAGGTGTACCTCAAATTTTGTACAATTATGAATAGCAATTTACGAGATAATTAGCCGTTTCCAGACTTTTGGGCCACTCTGTATACATATTCAATCATTCTGGAACTTCCTCAGGTAGAACGTTTACCGGTTAAACAGGTTTCTTGATCACTCGAGTGCGTTACTTGAGAATCTCGAACATCTTGAAGCTCAGACATTTTTTGGCGGTAAACACCTGTTTCACTCGTACGTTGTCGGTGTAATAGGTAGACGTCATTGTTGTTTACCTAGGACTTCGTCAACCGTCGAATTCTCTATTTAGAGAATCGTTGAACGGGCAGTTAGTGTAACAATAGCCAAACCCTAAACCCTATACTGTTGAATTTGTCACTGAAAGGCCTATTAATTTCATTTTTTTTTTCAGAAAAAATTAGATGTACAACAAAAAAATTATAATTTCAAAATAAAAATCCACCTGTTTTTGTGTTTGTTCCAAACTCTATCAGAAACAAAATTATGAATACTATGCTTTACTTTTGGGATACACTGTATATATCTATCTTCTTTTTATAGGTATAGTTATGTTCAGCAAACATTGTTGAATATTTTACCTCGACTAGCAGCTTTTGATAGGAAAGATTTTGTAGAAAAACATTTACCTGGTGCTATGACTTATCTGTTTAATATGTTAAAGAGCAGGGACAAGGAGAGAAACATGGCCTTTATTGCCGTTGGTAAGTCCTATAATATATGTTTCACTTTTACCAGATATAATAAACAAAATGCTTACCTATAATGAAAAAGACATTAATGGATTAAGTTAAACTCAGTTTGTATTTAAAAACCCAAAAAATTGATGACCATTTTAATTATACCAAACTGATATGTTATAATCGAACATCTACGTCACGTTTCACACAAAAGTTTGCTCCACAAATTAAATTACTATGGAATCGGATGTATCTCTCTTAAGCATATAAATTCTTACCTATGAGACAGACACTAGGTGGTACTGTCTAAAGGTCATCTCTCCGATTTTCTATCCGTAAAACATGGGGTCCCACAAGGTTCGTTCTTATGACCTTTTTTTGTTTGTTATTTATGTCAACAATTTGCCTAAATTCATGTCTCCGTACAAATCCGTACAATTCGCAGATGATACGATATACTTTATATCAGGAAAAAGCAATGATGATTTTAAAAAGTCTTACGAAGAAGTTTCTAGTAAATCTAGCGCATGGTTTCCTGCAAACAAACTGAAACTTTCTTCTTGATGTGCCTATCCGTTGCGAATGTTGGTGATCATCATGGCAATCTTTATCTTATCTGCAGCAGCGCGGAAAAGCTGCACAGATGTTGTATTGAACCAGATTCTGAGGTTCTTTAACCAAAAGATGTTCTTTTTCTTCCTGGAACTCGCTTTCCAAATATTTTTCCTTGCAGGATGGCTTGAAGGACAACATATCTGGATTCATTTCGCATAATATGCCCGAAGAATTGTAACTTTCGAGATTTAATGGTGGTCAGTACCTCTCGGTTCTTATTCATTCTTCTAAGGACCTCCTCATTTGTGACTCGATCAGTCCACGGGATCTTAAGTATTCTCCGATATAGCCACATCTTAAATGCTTCCAGTTTTTTGCACATATCTTCGTTAAACTGAAACTTCGTTTAACTGACACTTAACTCAGATAAAACCCAAAACTTGCAATTACTTGCATAATGATGTTTAGATAACAAAGAGGCTGTTTAGCTATTGGAAATATCTCACCAATATTCGCTGGAGATCGTCCATTCAAACAGTCAGATCATATCCAGGGGCGATATGCGGATCCGATCATACTCTCCTCGTAGCTAAAGTAATGCTTAAACTTAAAGCACCCAACAAACAAAGAGAGATAAAGAGGATATAACTAAGAAAGAAAGAAGACCTTCTACAGGAAGTACAGAAAAGTATGCCCTCTATTCGTAACGGGACATCACAAGAAATATGGGAGACTGTTAAACATTGCGTAACAACACCCGTGGATCGCTCAAAGAAAAATAATCCGGTGAAACGGAAACACTGGATAACAGATGAAACTCTTAAAATAATTGAGAATAGAAGAAATCTTTGTAAAAGTGGTGTACATAGTGAAAGGGAAAAAGCTAGTTTAAGAAACCTCAATAAAGAAATAAAATGAAGATGTAAGGCCGACAAAAAACAGTACTATCAAAGTATATGCAAAGAAATTGAGAGACATGGTCAGAATAATCAGCCGAGAGATCTATTTAGAAAAATACGCTACCTGACAAGAGACTTCAGAGCCAGAACTTGGGCCATTGAAGATAACACTGGAACCCTGAGAACAAACAGAGAAGACATAGCAGAGACATGGAGATCGTATTGCAGGGAGCTATATAAAGATGATCAACGCTAAGAGCTTGTTAGCCAAATCTCTGACGAGGTGGAAGAAGAACCTGATATACTCGAAAATGAAGTACGACAGGCTATCAACAAGCTCAAATATAACAAAGCACCAGGTCCAGATATGATAACAGCAGAAATGCTTAAAGCCACAGAAGAAACCGGCGTAAAGTTACTTCATCTACTCTGTAACCAAATATGGCATTCCAAACAATGGCCTGAAGACTGGACAAAATCTACAATAACGACCATACATAAAAAAGGCAGCTTCCATAAATGCGACAATTATAGAACTATCTCTCTTATATCCCATGCCAGCAAGATAATGCTACATATAATCAATGAGAGACTGAAAACATTCCTTCAAAGAGAAATTCCACAAGAGCAAACTGGATGTAACAAAGGTAGATGCACTCGAGAACACCTGCTGAATATAAGACAGATAATCGAGAAATCTAGGGAATTCAACATCCCACTATACATCTGTTTTATAGATGACCGTAAAGCGTTCGACAGGGTCAAGTGGAGACACTTATGGCGAATACTAAAAGAAGTAGGCGTACCACAACATCTAATTACGCTTATAACCGAACTATATGAACACACTACTGGATCAGTTAAAGTACTTGACACACTTTCGAACGAATTTCATCCAGAACGGGGTGTCAGACAAGGATGTATACTATGTCCACAATTATTCAACATATATGGGGAGTATATTATGCGAAGAGCACTTGAAGGATGGGAAAAGGGCATCTCAATAAATGGTCATAAACTAAACAACCTACGTTTCGCAGATGACACAGCACTTCTTGCAAATAGTCAAGCAGAGCTGATAGAACTTATACGACTGATCGAAAACAAAAGTCAAATATTTGGTCTGCAATTAAACATATCAAAGATAAAGATCATAATAGTGGATAGACTACACAACAATCATCCACACATAACCACAATTGACCGGTTCGAGGTTGTGAGCTCATACTTATATCTGGGATCATTAATCACAAACACAGGGTCATTACAAGAAGAGATTAAACATAGATGTGATCTAGCAAAAGTTGCCACAGCAAAAATGATCAAAACATGGAAGGACTGTCAAATTTCAAGAGCGATAAAGATGAGGTTGAACAACTGCTTAATATTCCCAATACTGACCTACGGATGTGAATCTTGGACTCTGAGACAATCGGAGAGAAAAAAGATAGACGCCACTGAAATGTTCTGTTGGAGACGAATGTTACGAATTCCTTTGACCGACACTAGAACAAATAATTCAATTTTAAGAGAGCTAAAAGTTAGCCAACGACTTTCTAGTAAAGTCCATCTCCAACAATTAAAATATTTTGGGCATGTTATGAGAGCAAACACAGACTCATAATACAAGGAAAGGTAGAAGGCCGAAGATCACGAGGAAGATCCCCAACAAGATGGATAGATCAAATTACAGGAATATGCCAAAGACCTATGCATGAATTAAAAGAAATGACCAGAGACAGAGATCTCTGGAGACGGACAATACACGACATCACGTCGACCACTACACTCCCCCTGGGGTTGTCAGCATTGAAGAGAGAGAATCGACTCAACTGGTCGGCTCATATCTCACAAGTAGAGAAAAAGCTATCAAATTATTTATTTGTTATTTGCCACCTAGGAAGGGTTGTCAACTTTGAAACATTCAAAATTATATATTTTTCTTTATTTCACTCACACCTAAACTATTTATTAATCATATGGGGCAATTCAACAAATGCACTTCAAATTTTTAGAATGCAAAAGATAGCTATCAGGATTTTACCAGGTTAGTTATCTAGAAAACACTGCCTATCTTTTTTTATTAAATTTAAAATTATGCCGCTACCTACTCTGTTGATATTACAAGTTCTGACTGTAATTCACAGAAAACGGGTCATCAAACGGATTACATTTAACTATTACAATATTTTACTAAAACGTATTAAAAAGCTAATCTGTAATAGTTTTGAAAATGTTATATAAAAAATATCTTCAGAAACATTGCTTTTACTACTCAGAAGAATATATGCTCATCGCAGAACATCTACTGAACTGCTTACCGTGACTTTGCCATAAATCATTTTCTGTTAATCTGTGTTCTTGTTTGTGATATTTGTAAGTTATATTTTATATTCCTTTTTTATATAGGTACTATGTATTTTTGACTTGCTACAAACAATATTTGTATTTGTTAAATAGTTAGATAAAACTTTACATGTTCCCACTCTTTCTCTCCGAACACTTTCTCTGTCTGCCTTTTGCATCGACGGTCAAGTTTTCGAAAGTCGTTCCTACATTTGACAAGTAGTACCTATGGTGTTATTTACATTTGTTTTTCAACGGTTATTATTATTTTTTTATTTGTTTGTAGGTTTGATTGCAGTTGCCGTAGAAGAAGATATAGAGCCCTACGTGGACAAAATTATGGATCTTATCAAAGGAGCACTTCCTAGAAGTGAAATGACTCTGAAGAAACGTCCGAATATCGACCCTTGCGTTTTTAAATGTATAACATTCCTTGCTTTGTCTCTCAATAACCACGACAAAATGGATATTCCAATTATTTTGGAACAGATGTTGGCAACTGGATTGTCGTCATCTCTTACGATTTGTTTGAGAGAGCTTGCTAAAAGTGTCCCTGCTCACAAGGTAAGATTATTGTCAATATTATTATCACCATTTAGGCTTCCAATTACATATTCGGATCAAAATGATAATAATAATTTTCCGAATGTTTTAGGAAAAAATTAGCCTAGGATTGCTGAAGATGTTATCACAAATTTTATTAAATAAACCCTTAATTCATCCTGGCACTCCACGTCATTTAACTACAAATTTGATGCCATTAACTGGCTCGTATGACTCGTATGATACTCAAATAATTGTTCTAGCGCTTCACACTTTAGGGACATTTGACTTCGAAGGTTTGTATTACTGTCATTTTTTAAATAAATATGAATAGGAAATTCTTATTTTTTAATAGTATTTAATGCAAATTGAATCATTAATTCACAATAATTAGTGGTGCACCAGTTGAAACATCGACTGAGTTTTAAAACTGTTAAATCAAGAAAGTATAAAAGTGATAGTAAAACTTTTTAATGTAATATACAACACCCGGATTGGTCTTCGATCTACATTTTTTATCGATCTGATTTAGAGTGTACAATCCCTTAAAACTGAAGCAAGAAAATATACAGAATATCGATTAATTAGCCTAACGAGCCTCTTAAGACTTTCTTGCAACAGAATCAGGGAGGAAATGCGAGGAAAATCTTGATCCGTTTAGTTTTAGAAATGCACTCGGGACCAGAAAATCACTAACTATGCTCAACGTCCTGTTGCAGACTGTCTTGCTCGGAAAGGTGTTTTTACATGCTTTGTGAATTTCTAAAAATCTTTTGATAGTGTCCAACATGTAAAAATAATAGAGATACTAAAAAATATAACGAATTGGTGGCAGAGATATTCGGGTCATTAAAAATTGGTACTGGAATCAAACCACCCATGCTCAATAGGCCAGTCGGAAGAAGAAGAAGGGGGCGACCTAAACTCAGATATCTGGACGATTTAAGGGAGATTGGAGTAAGGGGATGGAGAAGACAGACACGCGACAGGGAGGGATCGAAGAATGTTTTGAGACAGGCTACGGCTCACAAAGGGTTGTAGCGCCAACGGATGAATCGTAAATAATTTTAAGGTGGGTATGCACGGAACGGTAGGAAGTGAGAAAAATATCTCTTGGTCAACCATTTTCTATCCACTCCTGAATGTAGGTCTCTCCCAATTGCTTCCATCTTTCTCTATTTTGCGTCAATCTAATCCACTGTTTTCCTGCCACTGCTCTTATGTCATCTACACATCTTTTTGAGGTCTTCCCATGCTTCTTTTTGTCGTCCTTGTCTCCATTCTAGAATTCTCCGTGTCCACCTGTTATCATTATATCGGACTACGTGACCTGCCGAGCGCCATTTCATTTTTGTAATTTCTTCCACAATATCCCTAATCTTCGTTCTACATCTTATCTCGGTGTTTCTCATCTGTCTCTCAGTGATATTCCAAGCATAATTCGTTACATTGCTCTTTGCGTTGTTTCTAATTTTTTAGATTTTTTGGTAAGGGCTACTGTCTCCAAGCCGTAGGTACAAACTGGTAGTATGCATAACACATGCAAATTGGCAAATTATTTGGTAAATGCTAATGTCTCCAAGCCGTAGGTACAAACAGGTAGTATGCATGTGTTATACACCTTTTTCTTTAAGTTTACAGGAATGGAGGTGTTTTTCAAGATATTTGCTAGTTTGCCGAAAGCGCCCCATGACAGTTTTGTTTTTCTTTTAATTTCAGTATTTTGATTTTCCTAGTTTGATATGACCTAGATATACATAATGTTCAACATTTTCGATGGTATGATTTTGTATTGTTATATATATATATATATATATATATATATATATATATATATAATATATATATATATATATATATATATATATGTATATATATAATATAAAATTAATGTTTCTTGGGTTTAGGTTCAATAAAGATATGTTACATGTGGAACTAGATTTTATTTTCCATTGCAATCAATCAACGTTTCGGCAGGAAACCCTTGCCTTTGTCAAGATTCTAAAATGTGTATATATATAAGGACAAACAGATATTTTAAAATATGTATGTATATATGACTTACCAAAACGTAAAACGTGACACAGACATTAACGAACTGACATTATAAAAGTTGATATCTGATATCTCATTGTTTTCTGTCATTAGTATATAATTATTTTTATATGAGCGTATCGTTGATGTTTTCGAAAAAGGTAAGGTGGAGATATGTTATGACTTTAAGAGCTTTTTATGATGTTATATTATTATTGTTTAAATCAGATTGAAATATATTTTATTTAGGTTTTGTGTATCTTTTTTGTCATTTATTGCGTTGGTGTTTCTTTTTATTTCTATTGATTCGTATATCTCCCTCTTCTTTTTGTTTTTTTCTGTTTTTAAAATTCTGATGTTTTCAAAATCAAATTTATGCTTCTTCCCGCTTTCATGTTTTGTGAGCGCAGTGACGTTGTTCTTGTCGTATTTGTGAGAACGAATTCACGTTTACACGTTTTATGTTTTGGTAAGTCATATATACATACATATTTTAAAATATCTGTTTGTCCTTATATATATACACATTTTAGAATCTTGACAAAGGCAAGGGTTTCCTGCCGAAACGTTGATTGATTGCAATGGAAAATAAAATCTAGTTCCACATGTAACATATCTTTATTGAACCTAAACCCAAGAAACATTAATTTTATATTATATATATATATACATATATATATATATATATATATATATATATATATATATATATACATATATATATATATATATATATATATATATATATTTATATATATATATATAATATATATATATATATATATATATATATATCTGGTCTCGGCTCAGTATTTTTGTTTTACTGTAGTTCATTTCATTCAGAAAGAAATTTATTTTAAATGATATAGCAATGCTAGTAGATGAGACCACCGAAAATCATATGTTTTTGTTCAAAATATCGTATTTTATAGTACGGATTATCGGACTTACATATATTCTATTGAACATGAAATTAACAAAGAAAAAATAGTATATTTAATTTTTTGTAAAAAAAACAAACTAAGACAAATAAACAAATTATTTAAAAGAAAAAACAAAGTAAAAAATATTCACTATTCAGTAAATGTGACCTCAACTTCTTGCAGTTCATTATCAGCTTCTTTAATGTTTAAATTGGTTGTATTCATAGTTTTAACCATTATTTCTGACAATGTAAAATTGACACAATCCTTTTGAAGATAAACTGATTGGGATGATTGCATAATGCCATATAAAGTGTCTGTTACCAAGCGGTTCCTGTACTTCGTCTTTATTATATTTACTCTTAAACATTGTCTTTCACAATTTCAATTTGAATGAGGTGAAACACGGACAATACAAAATCACTCAAATTAGTAAATTTGGCCCACTTTAAAATATAATTCATCCAGATTTTCGAATTATATTGAAATATTTTTTTATTTGTTTGTATTCTGAGAACGATTTTCGAAGTGAAAATTGAAATGTCAATAAACTTATTTTAAATTTTAATTGTGGCTTATTCCCATTAAAATAGTAATTACTTTAAGATGCCATAAGAAAATAGCTTAAGAACAATATGATATAGATACAGTCTGTCCCAAACCCTTCTTTCAGTGCGTCACTAAATTTGGCGTCATATGGTATTTTAAGATTGTCGAGAATTATTGCATGACCTTTTAGTTAAATTTGACAGATGCAGGATCGTAATTGGCTAAATGTGGAAGGGTTATTTTTTTACGTATGGAATAAAAACTTTAACAATTCAAAAAAATTTTAATGTAAATATTAGAGGCCCCGTCCTGTATATAAATTTTTATTGCGCATTATATTGGAACGGCAGTTTGTCATAATTCCTATTCTAATTCCAAGGAAAGTTTTTAATTAGCTAAGATTTATTTATCGATTTAATATTATTTATTACAAACACTATGAAATTGGAATGTTTGTTTATTTAAAATAAGGCTTCCTCCTAGCATCTTTTAAGAGTTGACTGCGTGATAAAAAATTTGACCGGCAATTGTAAGACAACAAGGCAAACATTCCTGTGATAAAATAGCATCGATTGAAATCAGTCATATTCGGATAAATAATTTTCCGATAAGTTTCTGTGGCAGCCAATAGTTTAATTTTGTGTAGATTTGTCATTAAATAGTGGAAATAGTTTAAATAGTTCTAATATACACGAGTTATAATAACATGTTCATATTTATTGGTTTTTGAAGGTCCTGGATTATTACATACTGAAGTACTCATTGCCACAGAATAGCTAGTATCTGTTTGAACGCCTTCATTTGCCGATCGTCTTACTGTTGGTAACGAACTCCTGGCGCCTCGGCAACACACTAAAATGTATATATATATATATATATATATATATATATATATATATATATATATAGTATTTAAAATACTATTAATTTTTTTATAATAATTTAAAACTTTACGGACGGTAGAAACTGGTAATAAAGTTGTCCCAGCCTCTTTTTCTAATTGAAAATAATTTAATAATTTTAATATTAGTCTTTGTTCTTTCTCGTTATATCTCGGCATATTTAAAATATTTTTATGACAATAAATACAAAATTTTACTTTCACTGTAAAATGGCTGAAAATACTAATCTAGAATGACAATTATCATTTTATCAGTTAACATTGTGAAAGTACTGTCACGATCAAGACCATCTGCGTCAAATTATATTTATGTGCATCATTGATTGGATATCTATTTAGCGTATTCTAAACTTCAACCAATTATACATCCGTTAGTAGAATTCGCTTTAATATGCAAATACCCGTGAACGATACATAAGTTTCTAAGTTCTATGTATAATAATCACAGGCTCACGTTTTTTCTGTCACTTCTAGCTTAATGCGTTAGAGAGAATTCGATCAACTATGACGCACTGAAAGAAGGGTTTGGGACGGACTTCATATTAATGAACCGAATAAAAATATTTTTTTTTATTAACTGTTTTCTTTGTAAGATGTTTTGTACCGTTTTATTTTTAAACCATTTTATTAGTACTTTTTTATAACACTCAATTATTTTGAAACTAATACATATTTTTAATATCCTAAATCTAATTTTGCAGGTCAAAGACTTTTGCCATTTGTTCAACGTTGTGCAAATCACTTCCTTGTACACGAACAGACTGAGATAAGGCTTGAAGCAGTGAAAACAACATGCAGGTAAATAAGACCCAATTAAATTAAATCATAGGAAAATTCGGTAAAACCCACACAGGTAAATGTAAATCAGCCCTTTTATTTTATGAAACTTTCTCTCTCTCGCTCTCTCTCTCTCTCTCTCTCTCTCTCTCTCTCTCTCTCTCTCTCTCTCTCTCTCTCTCTCTCTGAGAGCTTCGCAAAATGAGTTTCCAGCTAAATTCTTAATTTGGTCGGACCATCTAGTTGGTGATCGTCCTCTTGATCTTTTCCCCGGAACGTTTCCAGAAACAATTAATCTCACCAAACTATCATCACCTCTGCGAACCACGTGACCGAAAATTTGCAGAATACGTTGCAGACATATTGTGAACAGCCTTTTTTTAATCTCGAGTTGGTTTAGAATGGAAACGTTTGTCCTGTGAGCTGCCCAAGGTATGCGCAACATTCTTCTCCAGCACCACTTCTCAAAGGCATCAATTTTTTGGCGCTCGTGTCCACGAAGAGTCCAAGTCTCTGCCTCGTATAGAAATATTGAGAATACAAGGGCATTCACCAGTCTCATCTTGATATTTTGAGAAATATATGTCTTTCCAAACTTTAGTTAGGCGACTCATCGCATTTTTTGCCATATCAATATGTCTCCGAACTTCTGCTTCACAATTACCATTGTTAGTTATACTAGACCCGAGATAGACAAAACTGTTCCCTATCTGGTATTCCTGGAACATGTTAGTCAGTTGAATAGTGCGTAATCTGTCGACCGCCATTATTTTTGTCTTAGCTTTCTTGATTTTCAGACCAACTTTATTGCTTTCGCACCCAACTCTTCGCAGGAGATCAAACATTTCTTGCTCATTTGCATCAGCAAATCTTAAATTGAAGTTTTCCTACCAGCTATTGGTACTTCCAATTTTTTGTTTAAGTTGGGTAAATTAAGAAAGTCATGAATTGTTTCCTGCTATTTTTATTGCTAGGAGACAACTGATCTTCAACCGTGAGTTAATAAGGGCAAAAACTTATTTAGGGCCAAGTATAGGCCAAATGCAAAAAATGGATAAGTTCAACACTAATAAACCGACAACCGACTGTCGATTCCTTTGTAGTACCATAAGTGCCTGATGGGAGTGTAATAAGGCTCTTCTTTTTTTCTAACTTCACTGATACCCAAAATATCCAAATTAACTTTTGAGAGTTTCCTCCATTTCTTTAAATCTTTTCTTTAATTTTTTTTATCATATACCGCCTATATTTTACATGTCTATTTTTTAACCCTACACTTTTTTTTTAGACTACTACGTCATGCAATCAGAAGCACAACCAAAAATCCGTCAGAAACTGTTACCAAGACAGTTGCATCTGTTCTGAACAGACTGCTTAGCGTTGGATTAATCGATATGGAAGCTACAGTACGTCGGGGAGTTTTGATGTCACTCGATCCTACTTTTGATCATCATTTAGCTCAAGCAGAATCATTAGGGGCTCTGTTTATAGGTGAGTAATAATCTCTTTAAGTGCATTTATTTAACTCCTTCATTCGTTTCGTCTAAGCTTTGAAACAGAGTAGATATATTTTATAACTATGTATTGGTAACAAATTATATTTAGTGATATGTCTATTAGAAAGGAGATTGATGATCTGGGTGGAAGAAATATGGATATTTGGAGTGAGTCTGTTCCAAATAAAGATGATTATAATAAAGATAATATTTCTAGTTCTGAGAAAAAACACGACAAAAACATTCGTTATCGCTTAATCGATACCGGCCAATTTATTGTTTACGTAGAATCTTACTGATAAATATTTTGGTAAATTACATCCGATTAGAGTTGGTCATTATTTACATTTAAATAATTTAAAAAGTAGCATTGTTGAAAGTAAATCTAATGTTAGAAACAAAATTAAAATTAAATTAGTTTTGAATAATGCTTTATTTGCTAATAATATTGTAAGTAGCAACTTTTTAGAAGCCAACAATTGAATTGCCTATGTCCCACAGTTTTTTGTGGAACGTCATATTTAAATTAGATCAGTTGGTACAGTGTTTGTCGAAACATATCTATTAGACAAACTTAAATGTGAAAATCCAGATAGAATCCAGTACTTATTAGCCAAAAATATCACTAAAAGTTAGCAAAAACCGTTGCAAGCATCACATATTGCCGAACTATATCTTGGTTACCGTTAGTCTTAGAATATTTTACAATAGACTATTTAAAGTACAGAAAATATAAGCTTTCTTTTTGTTTGGTAATGCACATACCTAAATGTAACATACAGATTGAACCAAATTAAAACGGAACATACAATTTAATACATGTCTGTTTGAACTGCATTTGAAATAGTGGACCAATATAAAACTTGGACAAAAATAAATCCATACCTGGGTATAGACATTGTATAAAATATCGTTCAACTATCTGTTTACTTTAAGAACGCACCGTAGTCTAAGAGCAACGCCCAAAGTCAATGTTGCCAATCGCCGTATAATAATCCGATTTGCGGATCTGTTTGAGAGTTATCTCTGCTTCGTATCTTTAAATAAATCGGATATTTGCCTATATTTTTCATTGTATTTACCAATCTACTACAACAGACTAATAACAAAAATAAACTTAATGCAGTTATTTCCTTTCTTTCCTGTAAATACATATTTTATGGTTTACAGGAAAGAAACACCTTATTTGAGAAACAGCTAGAGGAATGAATAGCGGCAACACCGCTCTGGGTAAGGGCTGGTCTTAGCAAGCGAGAGTGGTTTGACAGCATAATAAAATCTAGTCTAGTTTTCACAGTGATTCTAGGCTGTAAGTCCGTAGCGTGAAAATAAAATATTTTCGTAAATATATTAAAATGTATAAAATTGAAGAAAAAATACAAATTTTAACTTGGTATTTTGGAGGTCACTCGATTCGAGATGTAGTTAATTTATTCGTTGGTTGTTTTCCGAATAGGCCGGTTCCTTCGATTTCCACACTTGAAAGAATAATTTGAAAAATTTCGTAAATGTGGATGTATTCAAAACTGCCACAAGTGTAGCAATCTTGGTGAACAACCTGTTCGTCAAAAGAGTGAACAACGAATAAATAATGAAGTTGATGTTTGTTTTGTTGTTGAGGCTAGCCAGCCGTGTCCAAGCAGGGAAATTGCTGAACAAGTAAACTTAAGCAAAAACACTGTTCGAGGTATTTTAAAAAGAAATGGATATCGTTGCTATAAAGTTCAAACAACACAAGAACTTTTTCCCGAGGACAATATTAGACGAATGGTATTCTGTGAAGAGATGATGGAAAAGCAAAATGCTAACGACAATTTTTTAAAGAACATTTTATTTACTGACGAATCGACATTTTCTCTTCACAGGAAACACAATCCATCCATTGTTCGATATTGGTCTCGGGAAAATAAACATCTAAGTATTCCTGTGCGCACACAATACCCACAAAAACTTAATGTTTGGACGGGTATTTTGGGCGATTATGTAATAGGTCCTTTTTTTATTGAGGGCAACCTGAACGGCACTAAATACCTCGAACTGCTACAAAATCAAATCGTTCCGGCTGTTCAGCAACTTCCTAATATGAATTTTGGAGATATTTGGTACCAGCATGACGGATGCCCCAGTCATAATACAAGGGCAGTTACCGAATATCTCCAAAGGACATTTCCAAACCGGTCAATTGCGACAAACGGTACAATCAAGTGGCCTCCAAGATCAGCAGATTTCTCCCCAAATGATTTCTTTCTTTGGGGGTTTCTTAAATCAAAGATCTATCGGCACAATTTTGAACGTGCCGAAAATTTAATGGAGTTAAGGGCGAAAATTATACAACACTGTGCCGATGTTACGCCTGATCAACTCAGAAATACAAGAGCTTCTTTGTATGATAGATTCACCTATTGTTCGGATGTTCAAGGTGGATTATTTGAACCTTTACTCCATTCAATTTTGTGCCTAAATAGGTTTTTTTTAGTTGTTTTTAGAATTTTATCTTTTAAGTTTCTTTTAGAAATTAAGTTTTGTTTCTTTTAAGATTTACTTAAAAAGTTTTTAGATTCTTTTAGAGTTTATATTTTGGTTTTTTACGAATTTATTTTTTATTTTCAAAACCGTTACGGCAAAAAGCAATTGCAAACCTAGAATTATTTGTAAATCGAGTTTACAAATAATTTTTCCAGCATAAAACGTGATGATACGTAAAAATACGTATTTCATATAAATTTTTCGACATACTCCCTCCGTGGATCATTGATTACTGACTGCTGAGCGAGGAGCCACAGCATGAGCATATGCTAGGTTCACTCGTTTAAATTTTAACAATAGATTTGGTAAAAAATGCCGCTGTTGCAAGATTTAAAATATTCCATCAGTTTCAAAGAATATTTCAAATTTATAATAAAATAATTATTATGGAAGTTCTTCAAAAAAAGAAAATATATTTGGTTATGTTGACTGCTCTAAACTAATCATTCCCCCAAAGTTCATTAAGTCAAAGTAAAATAGATTTGTACTAAGTAGTACTTGTAGAACTGCAGTACAGATAAGCTGGATATCATAAAGAATTTCTACGTCCTTGGAAATCAATATATTGTTGTTCCAGAAGTATAAACACATAATTGTAAAATTTTGAAAAATGACTTTTTCGCAAATCGCCAGGAAATTTTGACATTCCTGTCAAAATTTCTTGAAAAAAAAGTCAGGACTTCCTTACTGTAAGGAAATGTCATTTCCTTACTGTAAGGAAATGATATTTCCGTACAGTTGTTAGTGTTCTACATAAATTAAATTTATAAGCGTCAAATTTGACAATTCAACCTCAATACGTTTCCATAGTAACCCAAGTAATTTTATTAGGAATTTCAAAGCACCATTTATTTGGGAATAAAATTATCGCGTTTTTTTTAAATCAATCAATATCTGTCGAATTTTAAACGATTTGCGGAAAAATAGTATGTTTACCTCGTAGGAAAAGCCACATTCCTGGACTCTGTGTTGCTAAGTCTCGGCTTTAGCAATCTTCACAGTCGTCCAGGAATGTTAAGCTTTTCCTATCCGGTAAACAATGTACTATTATTGTGTTGGATAGTTCAAAACTGCATTTTCTATATATTTTTAAATCATCATAACTGTACTTACGGAATCACCGGTCATGGCGAAATTCGTAAGTACAATTACGACGATTTACAAATATGTTGAAAATGCAGTTTTGATCCTTCCAACACAATATTTTTCACAAAGTCATTTTTCAAAATTTTACGGTTATGTCATTATACTTCCGGAACAGCGATATATCCTATCACTTTGCCATCGTTGTTTGAAAGTGGAATCTTATTTTGTCTTTCAAAATTATGATTCGACTGTTACTGTTCCTGTCTGTGAGTAGGTATCTTAGCTGGGTGTAACATATATTCTACTCTTTTATATTCTGCAAGAATTTGAGTACTATCTTATTTGCAGAAACTATATAACAGGCCTCCTAAAATCCAGATTTGGTTTGATTCTTCATGCTTTAGTATTAAAAACAAAACTTAAATTTTAAACTTAAAAAACTAAGATATGTAAAAAACATAACTTTCTTGAACCTTTTAAAACAGAATATTAAATAGCTGAGAAAATTTATATCGCATGTTAAGATTCGATCAATTAATTTTGTACTCAGCCTGAGGTCTTCTTTAAGTCAATAAATCAAAATTTGTCTTAAAGGAAATCTGTTTTTATATATCATATTGTATATGGACGTTTTCAGATTGTGAGAACAATTTTTGACGTTTCTGGTTTGTTTACTTTTGTGGCTGTCAGTTTGTTGACTATTTTGCTATTTTTTGTCCTGTTTTTACATTTTGGAATTATTTATATTACACAAACAGTTATTTTCACTACTAACTTTATATTGCAGTTGAAAATTTTATGGTAAGTGTATTTTAATTTGCCCTTAATTTTCATTAAACTTAACCTTATTCACACAGATTGTCATAACCATTTTCTGTCACTTTTTGTTGCTTTGAGTAAATTTCCGACTGATTTCGTATGTTTTAAATCATGACGCATGGGTAAAGATAAATTGACTCAACTGAAATACGTTGTTATTGAATTCGTTATTAATCGAATTTCATGGCATGTGATTTCTCTCATCAATCGCGAGAAAAATAAATAAATAACGAACATTTTTCTCCGGTTGGCAACACTGCTGAAATGTAGAAGTTTAGCTTTCAATTTTTATACATGATGGGCGGGGCAACCTTTTTGGGGGAGTTTTTACCTGTTTTAAACAACGAATTCAGAATCCAGCCGCACGTTGAAGTATTGGATTTGTATAATATAATTATTTGACAACCTTTTGTTGGCTAAGCACCTAAAGCGAAGTAGATCCGATATACATGTATTTCCTATGTTTCGTTTTAATTTGGTTCAATCTGTATATGTGATAATGTTGTGTATCAAATTGCCATACGCTAAATAAAAATAAATACCTAAATGTACAAGAAAAAAAGTTATAATGAGAAATTTAGAAAATAGTCGTAAAAATTAGCAAAAACCATTTAGTAGAAAACTTTTATGAACCATATCTTGCTTAAAATTAGTCCTATATCCTTCTACAATAGAACATATTAAAGTTAATTGATTTTCCTCTGTATTAAATTTACCATTGGATCCTTAAACTGCGTAGAAAGAAGTTATGAGCTCTGTGTTCAAGAGCCATTACCTCACCTTAGAAACAAAAATACGGCTCCTTAAATGTTATGTGTACTCTCAGTGCTTCTGTACGGAATAGAAACGTTAACATTTAAGGCGGAAACTCTATCAAAACTTCAGGTTTTTGAGCTATGGTTATACAGAAGATACCATGGACAGACAAAGTCACCAATAAAGAAGTACTGCGGAGGATGAACACAACCGCGGATTTGGTCAATATCGTGAAGGGCAGTAAGCGGCAGTACTTGGAACATATAATGAGAAATCAAGGCAGATACGAGCTACTTCAATGCATTTTGCAAGGTAAAATTGAAGGAAAAAGGGCCCCAGGACGAAGAAGAATATCCTGGCTTAGCAACTAACAAAGTGGTCATAGCCAGAATGATCGCCAACGTTCGGAACGGACAGGCACCGTGACAAGAATTGGCAAAAATATTGAAAATGGCCCAAAAATGGTGTGAGTGGCGAACTTCTACAAAATCGTATCTCGGATACTATGAATCCTAAAGACTTTTACCAAACGTCATTTTGAAGAAGAAAAATACAAGTTTTTTTTCTATGAATCAATACCTAGACGTATAGCTTCGCGGAAAAAAGTTATGGTTTACAAAATAAAAATCGCGTTCTTTCAATTTTTTTGCTCGGTTTACAAAAAAATATTCAGTATGTAACATTTCGATATAAAATTATTTAGAGACTAATTTCATTATTTCTTTTATAGCTCTACAAGATGAAGTGTTTGAAATAAGAGAAGTGGCACTATTTACCATCGGTCGTTTGAGCTGTATGAACCCCGCTTATGTTATGCCTAGTTTAAGAAAAGTTCTAGTGCAGTTGCTAACAGAACTTGAACATTCTGGAATAGGAAGGAACAAAGAACAAGGTGCTAGGATGTTGGATCATCTAGTTGTTAGCGCACCAAGACTGATTAGACCATATATGGAACCGATTTTGAAGGTAAATCAATACGTGCAAATAATATATGAACAGGAACGTTTATATCTCGTCTAATTGGTTACCGCGTTATACGTATTTCGACATGTTGGTCTCATCAGATACGGCTTGCAGGGAAGGCGAGACAATAAATATTTCCGTTCGTATATAGGTGGTTTAAACAAATCATTTCAACTAATAAGTTAACAAAGCATTCGAAATGAATAAAGTAGAAGCAAATCTAATACTATGACACTCATTGTGACTCTTTGTGATCTTTGAAGATCATTAGATGGTGTCTGGTATTTTCAACTTATATAATATCCAAAAATTCCCGTTATTTAAAAATAACTTGCAACTCATTACTTTAACAAAATTCTAAAATCGCGTACAAGGAAAATAGGAACAGGAATTACTTTTAGTGTATTAAATTAAATTTGATTGCTATTAAAATTCGCCTTGGATCCAATTCACATGTTCTCAAAAAAGCCGTCTTTATTAGGTATATGACTAATTTAAAATTAAAGAAATAACTGATTGTATTTATATTATAGTATAATACTACAACTTATTCTCGGCTTGTGTCCAGCTACATCAGCTTATTTGTTACAAAAATCATAGAGAATATAATATAAAGACAACAAAAAGTATACAAAATATCAGTATGACACTAGAATGTTTCGATGTAATATGCTTTTAACATTATCATCACGTAGCGCTACAACCCTGGGTGGAATGACTGTGGCTGACTGTACAACTTTTTTCCAATTTGTTCGGTCTTCCATCAACCTATGGTCAAATGGAATGTTCATTTTCCGGAGATCTGCTTGGATGTTATCTCTCCATCGCATTCTGGGACGTCCGAGTGGTCTTTTTCCTGTGAGAATCTCCCATACTAGTTTTACAAGTCTCTCGTTATGCAGTCTGTTCACGTGGCCTGCCATCTTAGTCGCTGTGATTTAATTTCTTGGACGTGCTTGGACGTGGATATGCTTTTAATGAAAACTATTAAACAAATTTGGACATTTGTTGTAAATCAGTAGGGTCCAATAAGAAATGTTAGATTGTAATAAGCAATACGTACAGGCCATGGATCAGTTGTTTCTCTTTATTTCAAGGATCATTGTAGTTGTTCTCGGTTTTAATTCTTTTCTGCTTTTGTTCAGTCTCTGGTGAAACTTTCTTGTCTTGTTGGCTTACTTAGTTCTTGTAGTTTTTTAAGTACTTTGTTCAGTCCGGATTTTTTCCTTTAAAATTCACACATAACATTTTTTTGGGAGGAGGTAGGTAACCTTCAGTCCAACAGACTATCCTTTGGACCATTTCTCGTTAACCCTGTTTCCCATTGGGGATAATTCCCACAACGGTTGCTCAAGTTTGCTGAGTTTCGCCACGTGGAGGTGAGATTCGGAATTGAGTAGGAGAGGCTAGTGACGCTAGATATACATTATTTACAAAACAAAGTAAACGGATAATATATTTGGGAGATTAACGCTAATGTCTTAAGACTAAACGGTTTTTTGTTCGTATATCGAGCACTATTTTAATTGAATCACATTTTTAAGGTTTTAGTACCAAAATTGAAAGAGTCTGAACCGAATCCTGGTGTAATTCTCTCCGTTTTACTCACCATTGGAGATTTGGCGGAAGTTACAGGTGGAGACTCAGAATTGCAACAGTGGATGCACGAACTTATGCAAATTTTATTGGATATCCTCGGAGATTCTTCTTCACCGGATAAACGATCAGCAGCTTTATGTACGCTCGGACAGTTAGTAGGTGCTACGGGACACCTTGTTAATCCATATAATCAATACCCAATGCTACTAGATGTTCTGATTAATTTTTTAAAAACTGAGCAACAATCTTCTATTAGAAGAGAAACTATTAGAGTTTTAGGATTATTAGGTGAGTACAAAATATAATTTTTAATAAGTAATGAAACTGAAGCTTCAGCGACCCCCGTATTTATTTTTGTTCCTTTGTTTTTCTTTGTTTTTACGTAATGCATACATACGATATACTAAAAATATTTTCTAAATTTGGGAATAATAAATATACTTATTTATTTTAATGTCGTAAAGCTAAACTTAAAAGGTGAAAATCAACAAGTACTTTGTGATTGAAAGCTAAGAAAATGTATATTCCGTTTCTTTGTATGTTTCTTTTGATATAATAAGATACGTTGTAGGTGCCTTGGATCCATACAAACACAAAATAAACCGTGGTCAAATTGACTACCAACCAGAAGCCCCCATGCTTATAGCGATGACAGACAAGGTAGTGGGAGAAGCCGACGGAGATTTTGGATTGAACTCTAGCGAAATGCTTGTTAGTATGAGTTCACATACGTTGGAGGAGTATTACTTGGCTATGGCGATAGCAACACTAATGAAGATTATAAGAGATCCGGCATTGAGTCAGCATCATACAATGGTCGTTCAAGCAGTGACATTCACATTTAAAAGTTTAGGGATCAAGTGTGTGCCTTATATTTCACAGGTATTAATTATATCAAGTTAATTCAAGAGAATTATTTGTATATATTATTTAATTTTGCATAAAATATGTTAATATATTTTTAGGTTCTTCCCAGTTTATTAAACGTAGTTAGAACCGCAGATGTGAAGTTTAGGGATTTTCTTTTCCAACAGTTAGCAGAACTAGTAGCGATTGTTAAACAACATATTCGTAACTATTTGGATGATATTTGTGATTTGATTAAAGAATTTTGGATACCAAATAGTTCTATCCAAAGCACTATTATTCTGTTATTGGAACATATTGCAGTAGCGTTAGGAGCCGAATTTAAGGTAAGTTGCCTTTAGGGAGATAAAGGGTGGGAGAGAAGGGGAGAGAGAGATAGAGAGGACCAAACAATTACATACTATATTTTTGCAGAATACTGTATACTGATGTATTTCTAGGACCTAGAGCTAAGATTAATACTATTACAGAAATTAACCTCAACAGCCTTCCGGGTTGAACCGCGTTGATTATCATTGTGCCAAGATTTCGATATCCTCTTAGGGGCTTCCGAGGTCTCAGTCTCCCAAGTCAACAAAGACTATTACACTGATCACTTATCAAAGCATTACTTGCTCTAGGAATAGAGGAAGGGTAATTTATACCGTGGATGGTGACCCTAATCAAGGTGAACCCAAGCAACGTCATATATAATATATAATATTTCCAATTCCGGTTCTGCGTTTTAATCGTGTATTATTCTTGTTACAATTTGTTTAGTTAATATACAATTCCTTTGAATATACAATATACCTCATTTTAGGTTTATTTACCTCGATTAGTTCCTCAAATTTTGAGAGTGTTAAACCATGACACCTCGAAGGATAAGCAATATACATTGAAACTGTTAGAAGCAATGCACAAATTTGGAAATAATTTAGAAGATTATATGCATTTGTTGTTACCACCCATAGTTAGGTAAGTTCAAAATGGTATTATCTATAAATTTTTGTCATAACTTCTGCATAATTATTGTTCATTTATTAACATGGCAGCAACTATATCTCCAGAGTTTCTATTAAACCAGGAATGATATCATGCAGTTGGTCTAATGTCTTATTAATGTGACATATGCCATATTATCAAATCATTACTGTAAAATTCTCTTTTTAGTAATAAATAGCAAGTTACGAAGCAAAATTCACCAAATTGTGGTCTGTAAATGGCCGTGTTTTTGTGAGCGACGTAAAGTCGACTGCCTCGGATTTTTCTACATACTCTCACGCACAGCGGCTAGGTTGTCAGATCTATTGCGTTCAGTCAAACACACGGGTGTTGGTTGATTGTTTACTCAATATTATGGGTGAAGAATTTTATTATTTTCACGTCTTGTAGGTTATATCCATCCATAGTGATTTTGAAAGACATACTGAATAAATGACAGTGAATTTGACAGATGTAGCTTCAACAATATGGCCGCTACCAACTGTCGAAGTTCGGAAGTCTCGTCATATAAGGAAGACTCGTTTATATAAAATTTGGTCTGGAAATTTTATCTTGATGTTTCGTTTACAACTGCGACAACCATTAAGAATGACAGTTAAGTTCATTGCCACATCCCCTTTGACAATGAATGCCACACTTTCAGATGAAACTTCATCAAGAAATAATACATCATTACACAACACATGCCTAAACTCCTTAAAAACCCACACTCCTTATCCAAAAAACACAATACACTTATCCTGTTATTCACATAGCAAACTCTCATTCTCTTTTTGTAGAGAGAGAGAGTATCGAATAAAGGAGATATAATAAAATATGTGCATGAATATAATTTATTTTCTTTTTTGGTATATTTTGTAACTGTAACGCAACACAGACTGGATCTAATACGTAAACTTGAACTATGAACCAAAGGTGTAAATTTTAAATTAGAATTTGAGCGACATTTAATTCATAGATTTTTTACTAGTATCTCAGCTACTACAAAATACATAAATTATAAATGTATATAATTGGATGGTAAATACAATGATTCTACCTTCAAATTTGTACATAATTCAACTATTGTATCACCAATGAAGCCATTATGTAAGCGATTGGTGTTTTCCCTAAACATTCTTAAACTACATGATTTCTTTACTTTTCCAACATATAGTTATAATAATAAATATTATAAATCTTAAAAATATCTATTCTGTAAATATATTACTCATAATGTCTATTATTATTATCCATACCTATTTTTCTTGCATTCTTTTAGATTATTTGATGCACCAGATTGTCCTTTAGCCGTTCAAAAACAAGCTTTAGAAACAATTGATCAGTTGGCAGAAATTCTGGACTTTTCTGATTTTATTTCTAGAATTCTTCATCCATTAATGAGGACTATTGACAATTGTCCAGACCTACGAAACACTGCTATTGAGTGTTTATGCACATTAGTAATGCAGGTATGTATATATAATCATTTCACGCTGAAGTGACATGACATGACTCTTGCCGTAAAGTTACCTACTTGCTTGTTCCACGGTGCTATAGCTCATGGTGAGTCCGGGCCTGAGCAATTATCTGCCTCCAAGCAGTCGATCGATCTTGAGCCACTTTTTGCCGTAGTTTACTGAAATTACAACAATTGCCAATATCACAAAATAAAAGATAATAAAATAAACAATTAATTGCAAAATTTAAATAAATTGCATAATAAATCATTACGAACTAATAAGTTAAAGTTGCTGCGTTTAATACCTCATCATCACAGTCATTAACATCTTAGTAGATGTGTTGTGGTTCACAATTGGGCTTCAGCTTCATACCTAAATATATATAAAAATACTTAAGTTACTTGTACTAGGTCTATCTCAACGTTTCAGTACTCTTGTCGATTGCTTTTTCAGGGGCAGGTGAATGCTATTGGTCACGATAATTGTTGGTTTAAGTACTCAAAGTTGTTTATGTACGTTGTAGTACGTTGTTACATTGAAAATTTAAGTTACTGTGTATGAATCTCTTCTCAGCTATTGGTTTTTGCCTCTGGATACGTTGAGTACTTGAACAGCTTGCTCTTGCTAACGCTTGCTCTGTGTGTGCCCGCACTCTCACCAACAATTGATCACTACCATCGATGCGCGCTGGAAATGGAACACCGACCGAGAGTATAAAATACCGTGCAAAGCGACGAGAACTAAATAATTTATATCCCGGTCTCAGAGTAGTGATCAGAGCCCTAATTATTTTTCGATTGTTTTTGTAATTTCATTATATTCTATGAGTCTTCCTACCCTTAGTCTTCTCTCTTCCGGGGATGTGTAGGAATCCACTAGTAAGTTTTTCTTGACAGCCTGTCAGTGTCCATTCTTTTAACGTGTCCGTACCTAATCAGTTAACGTCTTTCTATATCCCCAATGATTTGATCTTCTATTTCCATTGTTCTTTTTATTTCTTACTTTCTTATTCTACCCCTGCCGACTTTTTTAGCGAATCCATTTGGATCGCCTGCAATTTCTTATTGATGGGTTCTGTTAGTTTCAATGTTTCATATAATATAATTCATGTAATAGTACTCTACTGTTTTTTCGTAAATTTTCTATATTCTTGCTTTTCCCAATTGTTTACTTCAAAATATTCCGTTCAGGTAACTTATAGTACTCTTATCCATCGATATTTGTATTCCTCATATACCATTATTTTTTTTCTGTTAATTTATTTTGTTTTTATTGCTCTTCAACCATACTTCTGTTCTCTATATATAAATAAAAATGTTTGTTTTCCATCTTTTCGAAAAATTTGTGTATATTACAAGCTCTGTATTGTATATCATCCATTTTGTGTTTTAATATCTTGTACATTAACTCTTTCTCTTCTCGACTAACGAGTATATTGTACATTAATTCGTAACATTGTTGTACTAAATTATATTTATTTGTAGTTGGGCCGCAAATTCTGCATATTTATACCGATGGTACAAAAAGTGTTAAATAAACATCGAATTCAAAACAGAAAGCTGGAAATTCTGTTTTCAAAGATTCAAACCGACACTACAATGTCCGATGAAACGGATTTGGGCATCAGAAGAAGCAAGGGAAAGAATAAAGGTAGAGATGATGCTCCTGTAGGTAACGATTCTGCGATTAGTCAACGCTTGAAGGTTTCTGTTAAAAATCTTCAACAAGCTTGGACTCCTAGTCGTCGCGTTTCTAAGGTAGGTAAAAACTTCAATGAAATGAATGGAACATTCAAAATGTTCCGTTCACGACTATATCCTTGGCCTTAATAGTTTTAAAGTGTATCAATCAAACAATATTAACAACCTTTTCTTATATAGGATGACTGGTTGGAATGGTTGCGTTGCCTTAGCTTAGAACTACTAAAACAATCTCCGATTCCTGCTTTACGTTCTTGTCTTCCTTTGGCCCAGACTTACTCTCAACTGCCGAAAGATTTGTTCAATGCCGCTTTTGTGAGTTGTTGGACAGAATTAAGCGAAGATAAGCAAAAAAGTCTTATGAATGGATTAGAACTAGCTCTTGCAGTTCCCGATGTACCGGAAATTACTCAGACCATTCTGAATTTAGCAGAATTCATGGAGCACTGTGATAAAGGACCCTTGCCATTAGATCCACATCTATTGGGTGAACATGCCATGCTGTGCAGGTAAAGTACACCTTTAAAATAATTCAAATTCAGTGAAAAAGCGCCAAATAGAGTGACGGAAAAGTCTAAGAAATAGTTTATAGAGTAAACAATACGATAACAGTCATAAAAGCAATATTCCAAAAAATACTTAAGTTATTATCTGAAATTAATAAAAATGTGTAAATAATATAGAATTTAGATTTATTCACTCAACAGGCTTTGTAGGCCTAGGATCTATGCTCAATATTGTATTATTTTATTATTTTTCTCCATTCCATTCACTTTTGTTGTTCGCTATTTCTTTCCAGTCCATAACTCCAGTACCTCTTAGATCTTCTACAACACTGTCTCCTATTCCTTGGGCGCCATTTCTTCCTTTCCATCCTGTGTATATTTTGGACATAGTCGTTATTTGGCTTCTTTTGGACTTGTGGGTGAGTTTTGCCTGTCTAGCTATCAATGTCCCATTCAGACCTTTCATGTACCTTTACCTTTACTTATAGCAGAAAAATACAATCTTTATTCAGTTAAATACATTAAATATGTCGTATATACAAAGTTAGTCAAAAACGTCCTATGGGTCATCTTTATCTACCACTGGCCATCCAAAAATCTCCTCTTGGAAGCTCTGAACATTGATGTCATCTATTAAGTAGGATTTTAACTTCTGTAGATCTCTCGTTTTTTACATTAAGTGCTATGTGCCTTCTGGATATGCTGCTGTCTTTGAGATAATAGGTTTTGACTGAATTATCTGATATTCATACTTTCCCTTCGGGAACTAAATTTTCTTTATAATTCGTGTTCCTTTTACTCTGACCTTTAAACTTTCTCTCTTTTGCACTCTACTTGTTTCCTTCCTTTCTTCCGCTTCTTTACAACATTTTCATTGCTTTGTTCACACCCACTTATATTCTCAATTTTTTCCTTGTTCTAATCGAAGACTAGACAAATGACATGCAACCACTTGCACTGCTTGGAGAACACTAATAATAAATTCAGTATTTTCCCAGAAGTCTTGTCACTGCGCCCAATTCACGTTTTACATCATTAGTACAGAAACTTTTCAAATGCAGCCTTTACGAATTACACGGGTAAATATATCCATACTCGGCGCAGTGTATAACTAACTATGTTAATAAACATTTATATATAGTTTACTGATTAATATTTTTTGTTATTAATTTTTAGGGCATATGCCAAAGCTTTACATTATAAGGAAGAAGAATTTCAAAGAAATGGAGGTAACAATGACCATGTCGTCGAGTCATTAATCTCGATCAACAACAAACTTCAACAGAAAGAAGCCGCTGAAGGTCTTTTACAATATGTACTACGTCGTTCCGGTGATGTTCAAGTTAAAGTGGGTTGGTACGAGAAATTGCATAATTGGGACAAGGCATTGGGAATGTACAAGGAGAAGTTGGAAATAGATGAAACGGATCAGGACGTTTGCTTAGGACAAATGAGGTAAGTTTGGAATTAAGATAAATCTCCTCGTTGTGATTTATACAATATTTAATATCGAAAATTTAATTAGCCTACGAAAAGGTTAAGTGTTTTAATTGAGAACAACGTTTTGATATATTAAGTTTGCTAAAAAATATGAATGTTACTTAGAAAATACTTAAAAAATTAAAATTAAAAAAATGGACCACAATTGAAAACTGCATTACTTAATTTACAAGAAAAAAAAATTATTTTTGGTTTCGAAATATATCTACCATAACAATTTTTTTGCCTTGGATACTATGTCAAGTCGTCGTCGTACTAATTGAAGTTAATGTGATTGAATCACATTGATTGAATTTATTGCCGATTTTTGTTGGAAGATTGTGACTCCATCCCTTGCGCAGTCGGCCGACACTTCTTTTACCACTTGGTAATTTGTCCCTTGCTATTTTAGCAACTGTTGTGTCTGCCATTCTACTGATGTGATTGAGAAGAATGTTCCATTATTTTTTCTGTTTAGTGTCCATTCGTTTTCTGGTTCTTTCTTATCGATCTTTTTGAATAATAGGATTAACTCTGTCCTCTATTCTTCTGGTATTTTATTGTCTTATAATCTTGTTAATTAATGGTCAGTTGATCCATCATTGCCGCTCCACCATATTTCAACAATTCATTTGGTATCCCATCTTTACCTGCAGCTTTTCTGTTCTTTAGTTTTTCAAATCTTTTTTGTACTTCCTGTTTAATTGTGTGAACTTCCTCGTTTATGGTGTTCTGATGTTTGTGGTTCCAAAGTCATTTGTTCTTCCTTTTTGTATAACTTCTTTAGATAGTCAATCCATACATCATTTTCAAAGTGTTTTCGGGTCTATTAAATAAAATATTATTATACACCCCGCCAAGAATGTATCGCATCACCTATGAAACTGCAAATTTTGTATTAAAAATAATTTAAAACTGGATTTTTTACTGTTTTTTTTTTTGTTTTTTAAGTACGTAACAAGTATTAAAAAAAATGCAGAATGTACGAAAAACAAAGGTTTTATTTATATTATTTCATCAATTAGAAGTAAGCGCACAAAACAGCATTGAATAATAAAAAAATAAAAATCAAAAGTAATGATAATTTAGTAAGACGTATTGCCTCCTCTAGCTCTTATAACATCTAGACAACGTTGTGGCATACTTCCAATTAATCTTCTTAGATAATCTTGATCGATATTATCCCATTCTATGGTTAACAACCGTTGCAGGTCCTGAAGATTAGCTGGCGTCACATTATCACATCTCACCCTTCTGTAAAGATGGTCCCAAACATGTTCTCTTGGATTTAAGTCCGGGCTGTGCGCTGGCCAATTCAAAACTTTTAAATTTACCTCTTGAAGGTACCCGGTAACGATTCTTGCGACGTGTGGGCGTTGTCATGCATTAAAACAAAGTCATTACCAATAAATGGGGCGTAAGGAACAACATGCCTCTCCAAAATTTCTCTAATGTACCTATCAGTAGTTAAGGATCCTCCATCTAGCTGTACCAATTCGGTGTGACCACTAAGAGATCATCATCATCATATAACGGGGGTCCTACGGCGATTGCCGCCTCCCGCATTTCAGCCTCCATCTTTTCCTACCTCTCCAATCTCCCTCTTCTAAGCCCCTAGATTGCATTGTTTTTGTAATTTTTCTTCTCCAGGAATTTAGTGGTCTTCCCATTTTCCTTCTTTCTGGCGGAACATACATTAAGGCTTTCTTTGCCTAAAAACTAAGAGATATTCCGCCTAAAAGCTAGATCCTCCTGCAAAGTTTGTCGTCAGTCTTAGGTTGAATTGAAAATAACGCTCGCCATCTCGTCTATAAACTGATATTCTTCGATCCGAAGTGTATAAACAAAATCTTGACTCATCCGTAAAGAGTATGCTACCCCAGTCGTCGATATTCCAGTTTACGTGCTCTCTTGCAAATGTTAGACGTGCTATACGTTGTTCCCCCAACGTAAGTCTCTGGGCAGTGGCAGCTACTCTGGCCTTAATTCCAAACTCTCTTAAGATGTACCTAACAGTTTCTGAAGACACACGTACATTTCGAGTCTCGGCTAAGTCATGTTGAAGTTGACTTGCAGTCACTTGATGTCTTCTACGCAAAGCCTGAAGGACTAAAAATCTATTGTCCACATGCGTAGCTGCTCTTGGCCGACCTGTTACAGCTCGTCTTTCATAAAGACCAGTCTCTCGGTACCTTACTACGACTCGTGATACTGTCGACTGAGTTACACCCACTAAATTTGCCACATATATCTGACTCCTTTCGTCTTCAATGAGGGCAATTATTCTAACCACTTGATCTTTCGTTAAATTTAAATTTATATTGTCAGGAACTTCAATACTCACTATTTAATACGAAATTTTAAATTAAACGCAAACTGAATACTTTTTACAAAAGTAAAATAAAGACTGATAATATAAAAACCAGACAAAATAGCAATTTTTTTTTCTTAAAGAGTAAGCTGTATTTACAAATTTCTTTTTAATATTTATACTGAAATTAATATTCTTAAGAGTCAGAAGGAAATATAATTTAAATTAACCGGATGCTGGCAGAAATATTTGTAATTTTATACGCGATGCGATACTTTTTTGGCAGAGTATATTATATTTAATAAAAATATAGACTTTGTGTATGTTCCTTTTTTTTAGAATTTTCTTGACACAGGAGTTTATTAATGCATATCTTGTTTGAAATGATCCCAATGTCCAAAATTAACTAAACAGTTTTTCTCTTTCTTCGACAGTTACAATTATTTGCACGTCTTTTCTTACATTCGCATTTTAAGTTCTGAGCAAAAGTTTTCTCTGAATCATCCGACTGGTAACTGTTTTCGACCGACTGCTGAGTTGGTGCAATTTTTTTCCCAATTCAGCCAAAAATTTACCTCTAGTAGGACATTCCACACTGAAAAAGAAACTTAAAACTAACAATAATGAGTTAACCCACAAAAATCAAACAATAAGTGAATATCGAAATAAAAAATTAAACTAACATTATTAATATTAAAAACCTGACAGCATAACTCATTTTTGCAAACCAAAGCGGGTTAACTCGTTATTGACAATTGATCCAGTATTTACTGTTTGACGCTTAACAATAGAACCAATAGATGACACCGCGCTTCACTTGGGGCTTAAATCATTTTAATTTGTGCTGAAATACACGTATATAAATACACATCATGTGATAATTCGATTTTGGCAAAAATGTATTTTGATTCATTATTGCATAAAACCTTCCAATTATTAAATCAAAATACTTTATTTCAATGTTGTTCATTTATTATTAAATTATAATACCTTATCTTAAAGTAAAAGTTTTATTGCGTTAAACCTACTGTATTTTTTAGGTGTTTAGAAGCATTGGGAGAATGGTCGGGTTTGCACGATTTCGTTGAAGCAAAGTACAATATTCTCACAGATAACTTCAAAAACAAAGCTTGCAGGTTGGCCGCGGCTTCAGCTTTTGGTCTACATAATTGGGGATCTCTAGAGCATTATGTTAAAGTGATTCCACAAGATTCACAAGATGGAGCGTTTTACAGAGCTATTTTGGCCATTCACAAGTAAGTAGCTTTATTACTTTACTTTTAGTAAAGTTTTAAATTTGTGTCTATTTTTTAGCGAACAGTACAGAGTCGCACAAGATTATATTTATACCGCTCGTGATATGCTAGATAAAGAAC